TTTTTACATTTTAGTTATATACTTTCTCTCAAGAGAGAGCCCTTGGAGGAGCCTGGCATTGGAGGTCTCACTTCGAACTCCCCGCCTCTCAGACAGTCAAAGTACCAGCATCATATTACCTCTGGCTTCTCATCATCCACTTTTGGGTTCGGTCCATGGTTTTTCTGTCAATTTCTTGTAATCTTAGTATGCATTTTAAAAGGCGTTTTGTTATTTCTAGGTGGTTTGTGGGACTGTGGTGGGGTCTGCTCCATTCCCCAAAACAGAAATATGCATAATAATTTTGACGTGGAGAAGGGGAACTTGAGAAGTTTCACAAATAAAGGTTTCCATTCAATTGGGGGTGAGATTCTTTGCTATGAGTTATAGAAGAAGGACAGGTCTGAGGTCTCCAAGTGACCGATAAAGGTTGGTAAGGTTTGTACCAACTGTGGGAGATGGGGATGTTGAAAAGTAATTGTAAGGATTGGTTACCAACAATAAGGGATCCACCTATGCTGACTAGTCATAAATGTTCCATCGCCAGTGTTGAAAATGATAGAAATGTAGATGATTACAGAAGGAAGAGCGTAATTCTTAATGTTAAGCCTAATTTCTAGACTCACCAGCCAGTAAAATCACTTTCCTGTTCTAAGGGACAGGCCCGTGACCCAGCTCTGCCGTCGGTGGAGAGACAGGTATGTGGGACAGCGTCCCCGTGGACATGAAACCACATGGCAGTTTCTGCCGAGGGCTCCTTTAGTCAAGTTTCATTTTGCTGCCTCCTTCCCTTTATTTTGTTCATGATTCTTGCTCAGCAGTTTCTCAAATAAATTTTATTTCAAAGAAACACCCCTGAGTGTTATGCCGGGGAGGATCAAGAACCCCGCTTTCCTTTTGGTTTTTCAGTCCCTGCGATGATAACGTCCTACCCAAATACCACCCTGGCCACTCAGGGCCAAAAGAAGGAGATGAGCTGCACGGCCCACGGCGAGAAGCCCATCATCGTGCGCTGGGAGAAGGAGGACCGCATCATCAACCCCGAAATGGCCCGGTACCTTGTGTCCACCAAGGAGGTGGGAGAAGAGGTGATTTCTACTCTGCAGGTAAGAGCGAGACAGAGCCACACAGTGGACTCTGACAACGTTATTGGAAGAATAAGTCTGTCCTTTCACACAAGTGGGTGCGTGCGGGTGATAAGTAGCAAATAACCTTTTGGAATTTGTTCATGAAGCATCATTTCTCTCCCCTTTCATACAGTGAGATTACTGAGTAGCCTTCAAAAACAGTGCTTCATCGTAAGTGTTATTAAGAGTAGAATTATTATGACACAGCAGGAAACCCAACTATTATTTAAAAAAGTGAGAAATAGGGTTTTTTAATGGCAGTTAATCCTGGAGGAATGACAGCCTGTGCTGTGCACATGTTTTAACTCCCTGTGAAAAGAAAAACGGCAAGGGCTTTGGGACAGACAACGTTATAATAAAAATAATGCACTTCTTTGGAAAAATCCAACAGGAAAAGCTGACATTAATCCAGGATCACAAAAGCTAGAAAAAAATATTGTATTCTCTTATATTTTTTAGCACTATTGGTAGTTAACTGAGCAATGCTTTTATTATGGGGATGGGAGATGATGCTGTAACATACCTGTGGGAGAGAAAAAGATCTGATTTGAAACACTTATGTTGGTTCTCTCCTGGGTCTAATCCTGGGTTCCTTTTGAGCACAGCCCTGTTGAGGGTGGTGCTGGCCCCAGGCCCTGACTGCAGTGTTTACAGATCTGTTTCTGGAGGCACGGTTGCTGTAGATGCTCTAAAGGCATACTATGAGAAAGACGTATATGTGGAATATATGTTAACCTGGCCGTGCTGTCCCACATAAATTACTCACCCAGTCTAAGGAGCTGCAACTTGATGTGGACAATGTTCGTGGGCCTATCCATCTGCACACTGACAATCGTGCTGAAATAATTTGCCCTCAGAGGGATGTGTGTGTGGACATGTGCGTGAATGAGTGAGTGTGGGTGTGGGTAATGGGTATGTTTGCAAGTTTGTGTGTGTGTGTGTGTGTGTGTGTGTGTGCTGGGCGTGGCAGAAGGGAAGAAGGAGTGGGGAGAGAGTTTTATAGCCAAAACCCATTCTGGCTACTGAATAAGATGAATTTCTTTCTGCTTTATGCATAGATTTTGCCAACTGTGAGAGAAGATTCTGGTTTCTTCTCCTGCCATGCTATCAATTCTTACGGGGAGGACCGTGGAATAATTCAGCTCACAGTGCAAGGTAGGGAGAAGATAGCATAAGGGAGAATGCACAGGTGTTTCAGGATAGAAGTGTAGCCCAGCCCCAGGCATCTGCGTGGACTCAGCTTGCCATGCAGCACTTCCCAGTTCTCAGAAAAACTGAAATGAATGAAGCCAGCACTGCAACAGTATCATGCAGTGCCTGTGATTATGCCAAAGTGCAGCCCCAAAACAGGGAACAAAGCCCCTAAAGAATGCAGTCAGATGACGAGCTACTGGCAGTCACGCTGCGTGTGCAGAAGTATGGCTGTGGACTTTCTCCCTCAATTTTAGGAATCTATACGCTAGACAATCAGAATGGAAAGGGAAGGCTGACATTTGGGACCAAAATATGTCTTCAATTAGTGATCCAAAGTAGAATAGTGGTATTTGTATCGCCCAGGTTTGGCCCCGTTCCATGAGTGCTATGAAATTGCACATCCTGGGAAAGTGGAAATTCTCCTCTCTAAAATGAGATTAGGAAACATATCCTCCCAGATAAAAAGCATCCGTCCTTGTCTAGTGATGAAAAATTGTGTCTGAGTCATGCTCAGCATTTCCACTAGCGCTTTCTCTTCTGAACTCTGTTTGAACTAACCCTGGGTCTTTCTGTTGATGGCACAGAGCCCCCCGACCCTCCCGAAATTGAGATCAAAGATGTCAAAGCACGCACAATTACACTCAGGTGGACCATGGGGTTTGATGGAAACAGCCCCATCACAGGCTACGATATTGAATGCAAAAATAAATCAGGTAAGTTCTTTATGTTCTCCAGCTTTACTTTCACTTCAAAAAGCCCTTTTTTTCCTGTTTAATTTGTTGAACCCCTAAGAACACACCTCGCCTCAGGGAAGCTTGGAGGATGCTCTTTGAACAAGCTGGTCTCCCCGCTGCGTGAAGTGCTCCCAGCTTCCTCTTGAGGGAGCTCAGCTTCGTCCCTTGCTTCTGGAGCCAGCCCACACCTCAGTCGTGCTTCCTGCCAGCCTCTGTGGCATTGCCGCCACCCATGGGCACACGGGCAGCTGCTGACAGAGCCAGGCCCCTGTCGGGACCTTTCCTCACCTGTTTCTTCACTTCCCATTTCCCCAGCTGGGCGACTGCTCCAGGGCATGGGCCCCTGTCCTGTGCCCAGAGCGCCGGGCCCCAGCTGTGCCTGGGCTCTGCGGGATGAGCTGTGCAGAGGTGGTTTGTGCAGAAAAAGGGGAACTCACTCTTCAGACACCTCCTGGAAATGCCCAGGGACCGCCAGCAACACTGACTGCTGCACAGGGAGCACTCTGCCGAGAGCCCATAAATAAAACCGCCCTGCTGTCAGGGCCTCTGCAGGTGTGCCCTTTGATGACCTTCCAGGGACAATGGCAGGACCATTTTGAACAGTATGATCCATCAGGCCAGTGGAATGCCACCGCTGTGGCCTCTAGTCAGAATTTTTACCGTGTCTCATAAAAGAAGACACGGGGAATTTGAGCACTGGCAGCATGGGAAGGGTTAATAAAAATTCTCAGAGGCCACAAAAGTGGCCTTATTTTCCACTTCCTGGGCACCTTATGTTATTTCAGATTCCACACTTGTGACTCATTTAATATCCTTTGAGCTGAAGCTGTAGTGAGAAATCAGCTCGAGGCAGCAGAAAAAGGAGGGTGAAGAGTGAGGGAACGTTTCCATAGGAGCGCGCCAGGGACAGAGCCCGAGGGCTGTGCAGGTGGGATTGCAAAGAAACCCGGGGGCAGGGGTGGCTCTTCGGAATTCGGGAAAGCAGGATTTGCAGCCTAAAAAGATGGATCAAATCGAGAACAGCGTTTTGAGAAATAGTGTCTGAGGCTTGCTGGGTTAAAAATGCCTGTAAGAAAAGACGGAACGTCTCAGGTCGTTCATCTCAGAGTGGACCCAGAGACCCCAAGTGAGCTGGTGCATACACGAGGCCCAAGGAAAGACCCTCAGGGGGTGATGGGGCCCTGAGTCCCACTGTCGCCGGGAAATGCAGCAGGGCCAGTGCCTGGGGCTCAGGGGCGAGGCTCAGTGACCAGGGTGGGCATGGCCAAGACAGTGCTGAGCAAAACAGGGACCAGGACAAACTGCTTCCCAAGGGCCAGGGGAGAAGAGGATGACCTTGCCTTTGTTTTAAAGAAACAGAATTGAAAGTTCTAAGATACTGGTCTTGAAGTGTAGAAAATCGGAACTAATCAATCAACACCTATGTGCACATATGGAAATAACATTCGCTGGAAATCAAGCAGGCGGGGGGGAGGAGGGGATGGGTAAATTCACAACTAATGGGTTCAGTGCACACTATCTAGGGAATGGGCATGGTACAAAAGCAATTTATGTAACCAAATCATTTGTACCCCTGTAATATTCCAAAATAAATTTAAAAAATAAAAGTCAGGCATAAATCTTTGGCCCAAAATAAAATAAAATAAAATAAAATAAAGACTTTTAAATGCCTACTGTTTAAAAAAAATAAAAGTCTTCTTGGGTGAGGCAGGCACGTTAGAGCAGAGATTGGTCTTGAACCAGACGGTAGCGAGGAGAGCTCAGGCAGCCCCTGTCCTTGGTGCCGGAGTGCTCAGGTGGCCTCCCAGAGCGGAGCAGCTCGGGGTCCCCACTGTCTTCCAGGAGGATCAGCACCTGCCAGAAGCTGGTGATCGTCCCAGGCTCAGCAGGGGTTGGGATCCAGCCCATGCTGCGTCAGCGGCAGGCTGTGTCTTACCAGCTCTGCGCCTTGGCCTGCTTGCCTCCCCTCTCCTGGTCTCATCTGTGAAGTGGGTGCCGCTGCACCTACCTCAGAGGACTGTGGCCTGCGAGGATCCCTCAAAGCCCACGGGCTGCCTCTGGCTGGAAGGTGCCCCTGCCCGGGACCACATAGTCGTGCCCTCCTTCAATCCCATTTCTCATGTGCTCATGTGACTTCATCTCCCTTTTGCTCCTGGGAGGTGCCATTATATGTCATCATATATGTGTCATGTGATTATTGGTGAATATATTGATTAATTCATTTCACTTCCACCAGACTGGAAGCTCCTTGGGGTCCCCTGTGCTTAGTAGGTCTACTTTGGCCCAGTCCATTTCTCCATCACCTGGCACCATGCCTAACATGTGGCAGGCACTCCATGGATACTGATGAATACTCTGTAAGAAGGAAATACATTTAAAACACTTTACTCATTGTCTGGTACGTAGTCCATGTCTAACAAGTGGTAGCTTATAGTATTGCTCAAACATGCATGAAAAATAAAATGCCTAAAGCCACGTATGTTAGTTGAACTACTTGTCCACCATTTAAAAGTCCTTGGTGTCCCCTCCCTTCCACAAGCTCCCCAAGGTGGGGATTCTGATTTGGGTGCCCCTCGTTGTCCAGCGCCCAGCACATTGCCTCGCATGTGAAGAGCATGCTGTAAATATGTGTTGCATTTAGTTTACATGCAATTGAAATCTAAGAATCATCTTTGTCATCAACAGCATCTTTAAATGTACAAGTTAATCGGACTCTGCATAACCAAAGTGGGAAAGCTCCTATCTATAAAGCTGGGTGCAGTCAGGATTAAGGGATGCCTTTTCCATCCTTCCTGCTCTACTTCATTCAGAGACGGGCCCAGTGCTGTGCCTTTTCTAGTGTCTGCCCCCCACCCCCTACTGGGCAGTTGTCCCCCTGCAGGCCCTAGTGACCCCTGAGAGCAGCGACTGTCTAACAAGCCCTGCACTCTGTCTCTGCACCCCGCATAGTGCCTGGCACATACACTAGACTCTCAACCTTGTTTTAGGCAATGGTGAAATCATCCCCAAAAAGGTGCTTTCCTCTACTTTTTGTTAGTTTCCTAAGAAAGCAATATATTACCAACAATTAAAGTACTTAACATTCTTAACAGAGAGCACTTCTGCAAATGGTCATTCAGTCTATGCTTGAGCAGTCCCAGAAATAGAGACTCACTAACCCCAAGGAAGCACACCTCTGCCTTTGGCCAGCTGCGACTCCTACAAGTTCTTACATTTATTGCACCAAGATAGACCTTCCTGAATCCAGTGGCCCTGTTCCCATCCCCAAACACCCTTTGGACGAATGATACCTTGTCCAGGATTTGAAGACAGATGACTCTCCTGGGCCTACTGTGTGCAGGAAACATGAAACATCGCAAATCCCTTTACTTGTCTCCTGGCCCTCCCACTCTGGTCGTGCCCAGTGGCAATCCCCAGGTACCACCGGACCAGGTGCAGGCACCGTGCAGCTGTTGCCTCCCTCGTTCAGAATCTTCTTCATCTCTTTCTGTCACCCACAATTGCTTGGGTTGCTTTGGTTGTCACGTTGCTTGGCTGCCAGTGACTACTGCTTGTCCTCCACCTGGGCCCATGAGCCCCTTTAAAGAACCGCTTTCAGCATCTTGTCCTGGGAACCCCAGATAACCAGTCTGCAGTTTGCTGCATCCGCTTCCTTCCCTTCTCTGGAACAGCCTGCCCGTCCCCCCCCCCCCCCCCCCCGGTCTTCCAGCGTCTCCCCTCTCCACAGCGCCTCACAGGTGGTTGAAGGGGCTTCAGCACCTTGGCTAGCTCCCCCGCGTCCTGGAATGTGACCCTCCGGGCCAGGAAGCACAAAACTCTTCTACAGCAGGGTGCCCTCTTCCAGCCCTTTTCTCCCTGAGGATTATTTGCCTCCATGAAGAAGACAGAGCTTTCTCTGGGTCCCTGTGCCTCCCTTCTATTAGCCAACACAGTAGGCCTGGTCCTTCTTCAAGCGACCTCTTCATTCCTAAACCTTTTGTGTAATTCTTGTCTCCAGAACTTTCAGTGACCCTTACTCATTCTGGCCTTTGGCCTCTGACAGCATTCCTTCATATCTAATCCACCCTCTTACATTTGTCCTCGGTGACCTGCCATCCTCCAGACTTGGGGTGTCTGGCCCCCAGGGTGGGCTCCCTGGCAAGCACCTGGTATAACCACACTGGCTCCTGTGAGCTCCCCAGTCCTTTCTTCACAAGGGTTATTTTGGAACTGCAGAGGCAGGGTGGGACTCTGAGCTTCCCAGCCTGGTCTTATGCCACTGGTCCCCCTGGGGCATGGCATGGAATCCTGCCCACATTTCCAGTGAATGCTTCTGTTAACTCCTTTCTAAACCAGGCTGCAAGACTGACCTATACAGGTCAGTATATACTGACCCTCTCAGTCTTACTTCCTGCAAACTCAGAGATGTTGCAGTACTTCTCGGCCAAAGCTCCCTTCTCTTGTGTTGCATCAAACTATTTCTCTGCATTGCTCCTCCTCATTTGTAACCAAGTCAAGAACTTGTCAGAAGGTCTTCTAAGCACAGGAGACTTTCAGCAGGTGTCTGGAAATGTTGAAATCCAGTCTCATTAGGTGTCCTCAGAGAATATGTGCCGGTCATATGCTATAGGAAAGTGATCTTAAGCTTGGGGCTAACTCAAATCAGGTCAAATTCCAGTCCTACATCTTACCAGCTATGCATCAGGGCCTGAGTTTCTCGACCTTCACAAAGAAAATAAAAATCCCTTCCTCGGCAAGATGTTATAAAAATTTAATCAAATAAAACAACCTGTACATCAGAATGACCCAGAAAGAGAGCTTTTTTAAAGGCACAGGTTTCTGGCACCCTCCCCCATAGTCTGATTCCGTAGGTCTAAAGCACAGTTGTCAAAAAGCCCTGAGGTGCTTCCAATGTGCCCACAGATTTGGGGACCGCAGAAGTCACATTTTAAAATGCCTAGCACAACTCCTTGATGGGAAGATGGAATTGAAAATTGAGCTATAAATATGACCAGGAAGAATGTACCGTAGACAAAATAAAGAAACTTCTTAGGAGCGAGTCACAAACAGAAATGTATGCACAGAAGTCCAAGAACCTGAGGATACCAGTGTGAACGGAAGTGTGTGGTAAGGCCACAGGCAGGAAGGACAAGGAATGGAATTCAGGGATTTGCAACAGGTCTCCTGGCCCAGTGGTGGGCGTGGGTGGTGGTCGTTTCTAGAGGCAGAGAGTGAGCAAAGGTAACATCAAGGATGGTTTATGAGTCACACTGGAAGATTGTTTAACAAGAGGACGAGTTACCAAGGCGTGGGCTGGGCTAAAGCAACCTCCAAGGAAAGGATGCTGAAGCCCCAGTGACTGCAAAATGAGAGCTGTCCCCTCCCTGCCTTGACCCCTCATACAGCTTGGGTTGGCACCAGGAGAAGGTGGTCCACAGACATCCACATACCCCTTCAGGCTGTCCGCCACTCCCAGACACAACTCCAGGGAAGACAGCTGTGCCTTCTTTGGCACTGTCTGTTCCAGAAACTTCCATGTTGCCTGAGCAGAGCCATCAACCACCACAAGTGTCAGCTTCCTCCTGGGGCTAGTTAGCAAGTGTCTCTGCACCTGGCAGCACCTGGGGTTCCTCCCCGTCATCCTAAGCGTCTTCTCCACGAGGCTGGCTTTGTCTTTGTGGACAAGGCTCCTGTGTCTGCGCCATTGCACTGGTATAAAATCCCCCCCTCATTTTTCCGCTGTTGAATCACATTCTTCACATCCTTCGTTGTTTGAATTTTTGCCAAATCTTCTCTTTCTGTGTCATGTTCTTCTACCTCCAATCACCCTGGCTCAAAGGATGCTTTTCCTCTTAACCCCAAGATTAATCATCAGTTTCTATTAGGCTGCATTCCTTGGGAAGAACTTAGAGCATTCAGAAGCAGCCTTTAAGCCACATAGTTTTGTCTTCAAGTGCAGAGAATGGCTTGCATTTGTGTTAACCCCTGGGCGGGGCAGCCCCTGCACTGCCACACTCGCCATTGGGGTGACGATGTGAGTGGCCTGCTCCCAAGACTCGGAGGTCCTTGTATTTGCCGCTTATTTATTCATCCGTTAAACATGCATTTATTATTTGTCTACTCTGAGCCAGGCACCGTGCTAGCAAAGAGACACAAAATTGAATATGGGAAGTGTGGCTTCTGCCCTCCTGGAGCTTAGACTCCAGCAGGAAACACAGATTATCCGTGAAAGACTTACGCATGTGACGAGCTCCGCCGAAGAGGACTCTGGGGTGGTGGGAACATGGGAGCATCTTCTCTGTCCACTATCTTGGGGTTTCTTTTCTCTTCCACCACCAACACCAGCTCTTGACCACCCAGCCCCCCCATCAACAACTTCCCAGGCTCTTTGATATAAGAACCATTTACTGGCATTCTCTGCCTTGGTTGAGCCCCAAAAATCACCAGGTACAAACTGTCACGGATTCAATGATAATGCTTCACACTAGACAGGTGCTGTGGTTGAAATTAGCTGTGGCTGAAAATAATTCCTACAACAGAAAATTGAGACTACATTATTTGAAAAGTAGAATTGAGAAATATGTTTGGTATGCAGGGTTTATACTGGAAACTGAGGTTGGTTCCTGTGGGATTATCACATTTTCACCACTCTCTATATGAGAAAGAAAGGCTCTGATGTGGCTCAAGGTTTTGCTGGTTTTCAGATACCTTTTAGAATGAGGGATTTGTAGGGGCTGAGAGGTGAGCGTGTCCTGACCACGCTTCACTTTATCGGCTGTACAATGAGTGCCCACGAGTGGTCATTTTCTACTCCACTGGCCTGAGCTGCCGCCACGGCATTTCTCCTCCGTGACCTCCCACAGCGGCCGGATCTGCTTCCTCCGACACCCCTCCCTGAGCCCTGCTGGCCTCCCACTGTCCGTCCCCACAGTGTGGGTGACGTGTGTGGGAGGTCACATCCCCTCCGACTGCCAGCTCTGCCAGAAAACTGGGAACAGCACATAGAGAAGTCACTTGGGGTGTCATTGCTCTTTCTTTCCTTCTTTCTTTTCTGTTTTTAATTCCTACTTGTGAACTTTCAAAGGCAGAGAAAAAAAACTCACGTCTCTATCTCTTCTTTTTTGAAAAACAAAACCCAAAAGACTCCTGGGATTCTGCTCAGAGAACCAAAGATGTTTCCCCTCAGCTGAACTCGGCCACCATCATTGATATCCACCCTTCCTCCACCTACAGCATCCGCATGTACGCCAAGAACCGGATTGGCAAGAGCGAGCCCAGCAACGAGCTCACCATCACAGCGGACGAGGCAGGTGCGTGGCGCTGGGTGGAATCGCGCTCCGGAGGAGCCGGGGAGCTAACTCTTGAGGGCTCAGATGCTTAAATGCAGAAGCAGACCTTTGCCCACGCTGGGCGGAGGTCTTTGATGCATGCTCTCCATAGTTCCATGCCCTAGAAAAAACGCAGACAGCGCCCAGCATCTTACTTTGAAGGCACTGCTCTTCAAATAGAATTTAGTTCAAGGTTCTCATAGCCAAGACTTAAAAGAAAGACGCGTGAGGCTAACAATCTGGTGAGATTCAAAGAATCATGCCGTTTTACAAATCCTTTGTTTGGACTTACGGAATCCAGGTTGGGGGGGGACGCATGAGTGTGTTTCTAGCCTAAGACCCTGTGCAGTCCAGTGTTGGAGGGAAGGAGGAACATTTAACTAGGAAGCAGTAGGCACCTGTTCTGTAGGGGGAGGTGGGGGGGTGCAGATTATTTTATTGACTAGAAACCTCAATATTTTAAAATGAATTTATTGCTCTTTGTCCTATTACAAAGAATTTCATATTCAGTGTTGAAAATCACAAGATAGAGATAAACATTTTGAAAAAGGCTAAACAGCTTGCATCATCCACCTAGAGCGTGTTGATATAACCTACTAAGCCATTGTTGCGACCTGTTTCATCTCCCACACACGTGCATGCGCACAGACGTGCACAAGTGTATGCACTCCCCTTAACACTGTGGTCCGTTCCTGGTTACTGGGGGTGACATTAACTGGTTTGCAGAGGACTGAGCAGATAGGCGGTGGTGCATGGATGCTGACAGTCAGCCCAGCTCCTGGCAGGAGAGGAAGCCACTGCCCATGGGCTTCTCTGAGGAGAAACGTAAGGTGCCAATGATGCCCAGCTCACGTCTTGAAGGGAAAGGTGTGTTCAGCTCCCAAACCCTCCTTTCCTTTTGGCTCTGCCCACAATCAGAGCTAATCAGCCACTCCCTACTGCGGTGAGTTGGAAGCTTAGTCTCAGACCTCTGTTTCTCCATCATCACGATTCAGGTGATAACATCCTCCCCAGATGACCAAGAGTTGAAACAAAACCAGAGATTTGTTTCAACTTTCAGTAGGCATTGTCCTTGACTTTCTTCCCACCACCTCCTTCTCTGCTACCCTTGTTAATGATGTCCAAATAGACATTGAACTTGTATATCTCTTAAGTACTTTTCTACAATTTGTAATGGCATCTCCCACCATTTATGTAACAAATCCCATATTGCTGGACATGTCAGGTGTTTTCAAATTCTCATTATTATAAACACCACTGTGATAAACATCCTGGTGGTATCTTTTGCAATTTCCAAGATCATTTTCTTATGTTAAATTCCAAGAAGTAGGATGGCTGGATCAAATCAAATGCAACCTTTTAACTCTTTTGATATATGTAGTCAGCATTATCCTCACGGGAGTAGGTTAAAATGTATAATTCTTCCCGAACCGCCCATGAGTGCCTAAATCCCAATGCTGGAAGACACCCCTCCTTGAACATTGTTTTCAAGTGTGGCCGACAGAAAGGGCTTTATGCTCAAGTGTCTGAGGGTGAGCCACTGCTGATGCCGGGATACTCTGCATCAATTCTCGTCTGCAAGGTGGACATAATGATGCCTTTCTCTTCTTTACACAGACTTATTTGATTGTTGAGAAAAACATTCCCAGCTCTAAAAGTACTTTGCATTTCTCAGAAATAAGTGGGAAATGAGTGTTAATGTGCTCTTGCAAAAATAGAATCTTATTGAATTATTTATTTAAACAGCCCCCTAACTTCCTGGCGTTTTATTATGCTGGATATTTAGGGAAAATAAGCTGTCCCCATCCTTCACCCCAAACTGTCATCTTTGACTCCCTGCTCAGCCTTCTCCTTTCCTCCCCGCCCCTTTGACAGTCCTACCAGATCCCGACAGCCACCCCAGGATGACTGCATTCTTCCGGGTGTGCACGTGCAGCTGCTTCCCTGATTGCCGTTATTAATGCTGCTGTTGTTGCTTTTCATTTCGTTTCCTCTGTGACCTCCGCTGCGGCTGGCAGTTGCCATGGCAGCATCTCTCTCCCCAGCCAGGAGGCCAGGTGAACAGCCCCGGGTTGCTAGTGTGCAGGGCAGCTGCCTGGCATCTCTGCGGCCAGATGCAGGCACCGCCTCCCTGGATCCCCAGCAGGCCTTTTGGATTTTACCTAGTGCTGGCTGGGGCAGCCCCAAAAGCCTCTCTCCTTTAATATTCAGATGAGCTAAGGAGAAATGAATGGAAGGGAACAGATGAGCAAAGGAACACTACAAAAATAGAGCTTGTCTTTGTCTGGGTGCACAGGTTTGCATGACTGAAATGAAAAGGTCATTTCCCATGTGTGACTCACATGGGCCGGGTGCAACCACCCTGACCAAAGACACCCTCGCTGGAGTTGCCGCAGGAGCTGTGGACACTGCCGCCACTTCCGGGCAGGCAAGCCCCAAGGCACATCTTTTTAGGACTGCAGCCATCTTGAGGTGACCTTTTCCCACCCCTGCAGCTCCCTTTCCACCCAAATAAGAGGTCACCTCTCAAGCAGTGAGAGTCTTCAGATGGAAGCTTCTGGGATTTATTGACCCACTCGCTTTGACCGTAATGTAGTGCCTGCGTCGGGCACCAGAGCTCACCTCTCACCACCCACCTGGCTGGGGAAGTGGGTCTGTGAGGTGCTCGGGTCTTGGTGTCCCCCACAGTATGCGTGAGATGAATATCTATAAACACGGCTCAAAGGACTGTCCAGCACGGGTCTTACAATGAACAAAGTGTGTATGTGAGTGTGTGTGTGTGTGTGTATGTGTGTGTGTGTGTGTGTGCGCTGAGAAAATATATGGTGGACTAAACCCTGCTGAAATGGTGAAGGGTGTTATTGTCTGAATTTTGGTGCCCCCCAAATTAATACATTGAAGCCTAATTCCCAATGCAATAATATGAGGAGGTGGGGCCTTCAGGTGGTGACTGGGTTACGAAGGTGGGCCCTCAAGAATGGGATCAATGCCCTTATAAAATGGGCCTGGGGAGCTCATTCGCCCCTTCTGCCATGTGAGCACGCAGGGAGGAGGCACCGTCTATGAGCCAGAAGAGCCAGCCTTCTCCATACACCGGCCTGCTGGCCCCTGGACCTTGGACTTCCCCTCCTTTGTAAGAAATACAGCCTCTGTAAGAAATGAATTTCTGTTGTTCACGAGCCACCCAGTTTAGTGTATTTTGTTACAGCGGCCCAAAAGGACTAACTAAGACAAGTGCTTCATAAAGAAAAGTAGAGAAAAGTCAGAGGGTAGGACTGGGAGGCGGGGAAAACATGAAGGGAGAAAGAGTAAGACCCTCCTGCAGCCTGAGATGCCCTTAGCCCATCCTGATGGACGGGGCAGGTCCCAGGTCAGAAACTGCAGCCCGCGGCAGATCAGGCCTGTGGGTGTGTTCAGTTTGTGTCTGCCTAGTGGTGTGCAAAACTTTTGAATTAGGTGTCATTTTTTTTAATCTGGAAATTTCAGATCAACTAAATTTTGAGTTGTTCTTGAGTTCCTGCTTGGCAGCAATGAGCTGGTGTTAAGCATGTAGTGGTCACCCCTAAAGCTGGCCATACACCCCCAGTGAACCATAGCTCCACCCTACTTTCATTTAGGGGTCAGCAAGCTATTGATACAACCTGTGGGCCAAATCCCGCCTATAGACCTCAGACTAAGAATCGTTTTTACATCTTAAGAAGAAGAAGAACATGCAATAGAGACTGCACGTGGCCCACAAAGCCTAAAATATTTATTGTCTCACCCTTCACAGAAAAAGTTTATGATCTCTGGCTAAGTCTTGCCACCACAGGCATTTGGGTTTCGGATCCCTGCTGTGTCCAATGCAAAGCATCATAAAGAAGGAATCACTGCCAAGTTTACACAGCATCCCTGCCTACTATTGGAAAATATCATGGTTCCAATGCCACAATACTGTTTATTTTCATGCAAAAGTTCATGAATGCATTATTATACCACTTTAATGCACCTGACCTCAGAGAGCAGCCATGAAGCCAAGATCACATTGTTTAGCACCGTCTTCTCAACTCCTAATAACAACCCTTATCCCCCCAAAGAAGGAGAAGTCACGAGAGTAAGTGGAGACACTGTCAGAGTCAGTGAGATCAGCTCTTAATGGACCAGAAGTGTGTCTGACTCACCAGATCTCTTTGATAGGATCAGCCACGCACATGCACGGCTGGCCCTCGCCAGACCGACTTCCCCGTTAGCAGCTGCCCCCTGAAGGTCGCATGTCACTTAGTGCCATGTGACCGAGTTTGGAGTGGCTGCTCCCTTCATCGTTTTCATTATGAATCTGTGCATAGAATGTGGAAGTTCAATTACGCGGGAACTCGTTGAAACACCACTGAATTTTCACAGACCATCAAGAGTGGAAGGTCTGGATTATGAAAGGTCCTGACATGGAGTCATCCGGTGTCCAGTGGATCTGGCACTAAGTTACATCCTTGCATCACCTCTCATCACGTTGCAAAGCATCGGCAGTTCTGGTCTGGTAGAAGTTTCCAGCGTGCTGAGCTGGAGCTGAGGGTGAGAGGATAGAATGAGGGCTGATGGCGTAACAGGCATGAGTGCGGTAAACAAACACAGGGGTAGTGATGCGTGTAAGGGCAGAGCATGGTATCGATGTATTCTTCAGTAAGAGAGTCAAAGGCGCAACGCCCGTCCAGTGAGAAAAACCAGGCACAGCCTGCACCCGATGGAGCCGTCAGCAATCTGCTTTTATAGGTTGTTATTCTCCTCCGCCTTCCTTGTAAAGAAATTTTGGAAAGTAAACCTAAAGAAATCATCAGCCTCCCTGCTGTTTCTCATACACACTAAGTATATGATTATTGGTTATCCTGGAAAGTTCTGGAATGGTCTGGAATGTTCTTCCTTCCGCTCTCTTAGCACTTTCAAGTTTCTGCTCAAATATCATCTTCTCAGTAGTCCTGTCCTTACCACCTTATTAAAATTCAATCCACTGCCCTTTCTGGCACAGTTGGTCCTCTCTCTCCCCTAACACTTTCCTTTCAAATACGTATCACCACCCAATATACCATGTAAATTGTTGATTTACTTTTTTTGCGTGTGTGAGACAGAGTCTCACTCAGTTGCCCAAACTGGAGTGCCGTGGTGTCAGCCTAGCTCACAGCAACCTCAAACTCCTGAGCTCAAGTGATCCTTCTGCCTCACCCTCCCGAGTAGCTGGGACTACAGGCACACACCACCACGCCCCATTAATTTTTTCTATTTTTAGTAGAGATGGGGTCTTGCTCTTGCTCAGGCTGGTCTCAAACTGCTGGCCTCAAGCAATCCTCCTGCCTTGGCCTCAAGCAATCCTCCTGCCTTGGCCTCCCAGAGTGCCAGGATTACAGGCATGAGCCACTGCACCCGGCCTGATTTACTTTTTTTATGGTCTATTTTTTGGCCCCCTCCCACAAGGGCAGGAATAGTTATCTAATTAAATAAATAGTTTAAATGAATGAGCTAAATATTTATTTAATAGTTACAGCTGTTCTTTGTTTGATTTTAATTTTTGCCAAATCCTATCTTGGTACCCTTTGCCCAAAAAAAACATGCCTCTCACCCACCCAACGTCTGCGGAAGACGAACACGTGATTGTGAAATCATGCAGCTGCACCTCCCTATTTTATTAATTTATTCCACTTTTGTAACCCCAGTCTCTGCCTAGTTTAGGACCTGGCGCACCGTAGGCCTCAGTAAATCCCCCGACAAGGAAACCAGAGACAGAAATGCGGGTGTGATTCCCACATGGGTGATTCCACTCAGTCCAATAAACAATGAGGCCCCAAGACCCAGCTAGAAGCCAGGACGTTGATGGATGGGGAGGGAGGGGCCCCTTTGAGAGCAGAATGGAGCCCGAGGCTTGAGTCTCAGTGGGGACGCAGGGACTGTCGGAGCAGCAGGAGGCTGCCCAGACTTTGAACTGACAGGGAGGAGCCGGCGCAGGAGGGACAAGGGACCCAGAGCCAGCCATGAAGGCCCAGGAGGGAAGCAGGAGAGGATATCCACGGGTTTGGCAATTAGGAGGCACCCGACTGTCATCGCTGTGTTTTCAGCCAAACAGAATTAGTGAAAGTTGCCTTGCCTTTCCCCTTGCAACATTGCTAGAAATTGCAAATATAGTCTGTATTACTGCTTCACAGATTGAATGGTTTTGACTGCTGTAGAAGTGCAGAGATGGTTTATTTTGGAAAATCATTTCCATTGTTAATCGTTACCTCTATAGCTCTCCATTATTGATCCTCAATACTTTTTGCACTGGGAATTCACTCTCCCTGGGATTGTAATTTTAAAGAGATCATCTGCAATGAGATGGGAATGTATGAAAAAATTACAGCTCAGGAACTGTATGGAAAGCACTAACATTCTGAAAGAAGACCAATTCTTTTATAACTTAAAAAATTTTTCTTATAATGTTTTAGAAACTTACAGCAGAAAATTTAGTGTCCTTTGTAAAAGACAAGCAAACCAAAATAACCTCCCTAATTATACTGGGCACAGCCCTAATGTGTGTGTATAAATTATATTCTTTTGGGTGGTTTGGACTGTTTCCGTCACTTTTTTTTTTTTAGGCTGCCTTTCATTTTATTGCAAAATATTTGCATTTTTTCCATCAAATCTATTTGCTACTGAGTATTTTTTTTTTTTTTTTTTGCCATGCTGAATTGTAAATGTACTGTTTTTTTCAGAGAGGAGAGATCCAAGTGCATTCACTTTTGGAAACAGGCAGACCAATACGTAATTACTAACAAACCACCAAAGTATTGCTGGGCTAAGTGATAAAGGTGTTATGTTCTTAAAAATGACAGAGCTGTCCTAGAAATAGGAACTGTCCCCCTCTCTCCACTTCACTGAGGACCTTCATAAAACACCAAACCAGACCGAAGGAGCAAATTGTCCCCAGTTCATGATGACATCATGGACTTTATGTTTTCTGATAGGATCAAGGGCATTTTTGTAAACACTATACTAGTACCTTTGTTTTAATTATGAAGCTATCTCAACAAGAAAATAAAGGCTGTGACTACTGTCTGCTGTTATCCTGAGAAGGCCACATTGAAGGCCACACCCAAGAGATTCAAGATGAGGCAGTGTCCCCACATTGCCTCTGATCCCCAACAGACTGACTTCTTGTTCAATTCAATTAACACAATTAAATTAAAATAACCGAGCATTAGTGCAGCTGTCAGACCTCAAAATAATTTTTCAAGAAGGATTTTTATGGAGGAAGCGTGTGCTTCTCAACAACTACGGAATTATCCGTGTGGGAGAGAAATCTGTTCCATGGGTTTTTATTGGATCCAATATCAAAAGTTTCCTGCTTAAAGGGCCTGACTCTGCGAGCAGAAATTAGATTCAGAGCTTTAACAGTAATTACCGCAGTTAGCTGGATGCTGGGCTCTGCCTCGGTTTCTGTTCCGGACATTAACTTCAGTGCTAGCAAAGCCTTTGCACTTTTGGAATCGATAAATCCGAGAGGCTGCAGTACCCCAGGTAAGCGTCGGCCCCACGGACCTGCTGGGGAGAGGACCTGCTCAGCGTTTCAGCGACCTCAAATTGCTTCGCCCCTTCAGAGCAAGGGCTGACTCTGAGCTCAGTGCCTGATACCACGTAGAGTCTGCCGGGTGACCAGAGACGTGCAAAGACTGATGTGCTAATGTATGCACAGCACCGTGGCTACAAGGTCCCAAGCCCAGGTGGGGATAAACCGCCATGGGGGGCCCAGGCACTGGCAGGAAACTCTGACGGAGGCAAAAGAAGACTCCAGGGCAAAGGCTCCGATTGCCCCGAGTCAAGTGTGTTTGGGTTCCGTAGAGACATTGGCTCAAAACTTCCTCCTCCTCTGAAAGAAAGGGAACCAGCTTCCCCTTGGCCATGCCCTCCCCCAGTCTACCGTTTATCTTTAAGGCATCCCTACCTTTCCTCTTACTTCCAAACTCTTCAAAACTAGCTTATATCCACTATGTCTGCTTTCTTATCTCCCACATGCTACTCAACCTTCTGCAAATGTCCACGGAAATGGATGACTCTTCTGTAGTTCAGCAATGATTTCAAAATTGTCAATCCTAAAACATTCTGTAATTGAAAGGGGTCTCTCCCTCTGACTCCTTTGTGATCATTCGCTTCCACATCTCAGATCCCTTAGTAGCCGCGGGTTTGTCTTGCTGTCTTCCCCTCACTGTGTGCATCTGATGGCTCTGATTACACTCTGAACTCTTGGTGGGCAAAAGGTTTCATATCTCTCAGTTCCACATTGTGCACCTAGCACGTGCGCATGCCTAACACATGCCGGTCTGCTCTAACTGGAGTGCATTTGGAATTGTCGCTCAGCTTGCAAAGCCCTTGGAAGCAGGTGCGTGCCAGTGGCCTGCTTTGTTTCCTCCTCAGCTCTGCTTCTGCCACCTGTGGCTAGAGCCCCCGCTTCCCAAGGGATTTCAGTCGGAAAGTGTGGGGAACTAAAGCGATCAAAGAGACTCAAAGGCAGAAGAACCCTGACTAGTTTTTCCCCAACTAGCTCTGAGCAACTGGAGTAACCCCAATAATCCATGCCTAACAGAGCTTCCGAAGGGAAAAGAAGGATCTTCAACACACACCATAGACAGAGTTTTATAAAAGAAATTTTGTTTTACAACTTTCTATTGTACCCCTTAACTTGCTCAAAGTCAGGGTTGAGTAATAAAATTGTCAAAGACATGGTGAAGAGGAATACGATGACAGGGTCCCAAGATTCGTTTTCAGAAGAACAAATAAATACGGGGAAAACTTTGCACACAGTGACTCTGCAAAATCGTTTTTTCCCGCTACCACCGAAAACTTACCTCCCTGTGCCAAACTCGAAGTGTCTTCTGGGACCACATGTGGTTGTGTAGGTTTCGACCTATGCTGGAACGCATTTCTAACCTGCCTGTGGGTTTTCTGGTCCTTACAGCTCCTGATGGGCCACCTCAGGAAGTTCACCTGGAGCCCATATCGTCTCAGAGCATCCGGGTCACCTGGAAGGTAAACCAAGCAAACACTTGTATTCCTGGCACTTTTCCCGTGGGGGAGCCCTTCACTCGTGTTAAGTGCTGTGATTGCAAGACACTAACATTTTAAGAATCTTTTATTTTTCAAAATTATATTAAAATCCCTTTTCTTAAAAGTCAATACTTCTATTCACATTTTGAATACTTTTACAGCAAATCCTGTGTCTACAGAGAATAAAATTACGTGTCATTTTTCATTCTTTGAATCTTGATCATTGTCCTAAGTGTTGGTCACCATGCAAATTGTGATACTGATGTCCCTGACTGTACTCTCTGACTTCATCCCAGTGAACACTTTACCTAATTGCTTTTTCTAAGTGGCAAAGCATGGTGTGGTTGAAAGCTGGTGGAAAGCAGAGAAGTCCTAGCTGGGCTACTAACTAGACATGTGCTCGAGCAAGCCCTTAATTTCCTTGCCGCTGAAATGAACTATTGCATCTGTGGCCTCCCAAGGCAGTGCTACCCCGAGTGTGGCCCTCGGATGCAGACTGGCTCTGGCTAGCTCAGTGCTGGCTGCCGGCTGCAGGGAGAGAAAAAAAACTTGAGTCGTAGTGTAAACAGCTTCATCACTAAGCATATTGTTCTGCTCAGCTGCCGTGGTTTCCATAGCAAACTTCCTCAATGAAGGAAGCAGTGTTGATTCTGCTGCAATCTTGTCACACATTAGCACTTTGGGGCACCCCTATCCCCACGACCTTCCAGACAGTACTGTGGCACTGACCTGGTAGGTGAAACTACCTTGGGAATTAGTCATCCTCTTGAATGTGCTCTTGGAGATAACTAGCTTAACCCAATTCCATTTTATCTAGAGTGTTATTATCAGAGCAGAAGCTCTGTAAGGTCGCACTTACTGTTCTAGTTCTGGATTTCTCTCACTGCATGCAGTATTTTTCTTACTTCTTTCCTCACCCTTTTTTCTGTGTCCTCACTCAGAGAAGAAGGCAGCCAAGAACCACAGTGAGGTCTTCAAATGACACACTTCTTGTAACCGTTTCACCTGTTTATTGGTTTGTTTTGTTTTCCTTCTAGTATTGGTTCTGTCATAAAATGACCAGCATCTATAACAAAAACGGACTTTCGTTGTCAGGGTGGAGACCACCTTTGGTATTAACACAGGGTAATGCAGCCAGCCCTTTTGTGTCAGCCTTTTCCAACCCCAGCCAATGAGCGGTGTCTGCAGCGGGCGCCTGACATGAGCGTTCAGCGGCAGACTGTGCAGGCTGAGGAGTGTGGGCAGAGGTGTCATGGGCCTTTGTGAGCACGTCCACCCCCCGCGAGCATCACACACGCCGTATAAGAAAGGCACTCAGCAAGCCGTAACCCCACACGCATCCCTGCCACGCTACAAACGAGATGCTGACTCACTCTGCCTTGAATTAAAGACGCTGTGAAGTTTCTACCACTAGCCCTACACATGCTCTTCTGCTTTGTCACTCAAAAAGACCAGGCATTACTGTGGCCTCGAACGCTCTTTGGGTCCTGCCTGATAGAGGCGTCTGTCCACAGAGTATCTAGCTCTGATGACTAAAAATAGAAACTCCTGAGGCTTTAAAAGGCATTGTGTCCTTTCTCTCTTTGTCGAAAGCACAGGCAAAAGTAGGTAAATTGCAGTTAAATTTCTTCTTCGTGCTGAAAGGATGACCATGTTGTGGGCTATTAAGAGGAAGCCTGGCTCTCATTAGATTGCGAACGGATTGTGATATGTTGTTGGTGGAGGAGTGTGATCCATCCCAGTGTAGTGGGCCCTGCGGTGTGGCCTGTCAGCAGGCGGCGCGTCTGTGATCTAACTGCCTAACGAGGAAGGACTGCCCTGTCGCCGGCTTTCCATTGCACGTTGGCATGTTTATGTAATGAGCTTCTAAAGCGCATCACTGATTCAATCAAATTGTGTGCTAGTGTGCATCGTCTAGGGTGTACGTAAAGTGCAGTACGTTGCATACAACACGCCTCTATTCTGTGAGGTTAAAGTTCAGAATAGGCATGTCGTGGAAGGAGACTGCCGAGGAGAGGGGAAGGAAGGAGGAGGTAAGGAAAGACAGAGAAATAGCGTCAGCCCTGAAGAGGGAGCCCCACATCCATCAGCCAGGGTGGATACATGGGGAGTAGGGGGCTGCCGAAGGTGGGTGGAGGAGAGAGGAGCTCTGAGGTTCTGGTGAGAAAACACATTTTAGGCTCCAAACTTCGTAAAGGTAAGGGGCACCCTCGCGGCCTTTCTGTAACACTGCAGATAGATATTAAATCCATTTAATTATCATTGCACACGCAACACTTCTGTAACAACACCTTCTATTGAACAAAATAAACACCTGTCCCTTTTTATTTTAGTTATTTCTTTCATGGTTTCCCGTGACCTACTGAATATGGCACAATCCCGTAGTTCACTCAAGGTCACCCGACGTCAGGCTGCAGCACCCAGACTCCTGATTCAGGTTCATGCCCCTACCTGCCCCCAGGGGTTCTTGCCCATCCAGGTGGCAGGCCCACAGGTGGCATCTTTCCTGTCATGCCCACCTCTCCTGCCCAATCCTGCTTATTCAAGGCTCAGGTGTGTGTGATTCTCGCCATGAAGTCAGGCGAATCTCCAAAGTGGAATTAATAGTTCATCCTCTGTGTTACCTGTTGCTCTTGGCAATGGCTCAGTGAGGTCCCCATCCCGTGGTCTCTGCTGCTGTTCTGCAAGTTCCTTAAAGGCAGGGAGAGGGTCTTATCCAGCTCTGAACATGTTGCATGAATAGATGAATGAAAGAAGCAGTGAAGAAGTGAGTGAGTGCCTACGTGAGTTGGGAATGAAGAGACAAGTGTTCCGTATACAATAGTCTCGGGAGCGTTCGGCACCTGAGCTCTTAGGTCTCCAAACAGCAGACTGTAAAATGCGATGGTCTCACTCATGATACAGTGAAATACCCCAGGCTGTACAATGGTAACACCCAAAGATGTGATCCACGCTCAGTGTTCCAGACAGACCAACCATTTTGCATACAAGTTTTGACTGTAATTTATTTAAAAGTAAAGGGCAGAAATGGTCCAATAAATTCATGGTGAGTTTTATAGGAGACAGGCATCCACACATCACAGGTGTAAGTCCACAGGGAGATGTCCAAGAACCAGTACCATATTTGATGTCTATATTATCCAAAATGAAGGTCAGGAAAGGTTCTTAAATACTTTTACATATTCTGAGTTAGATAAAAATGAGAGCTGATGCCTTAACAGAAACTCAAGAGACCATGCAAGTGGTTCTAAATAAAATAGAAATAAAGTAAATGACATAAAGTTTCATTTCCTACCTGTTGCTTCTCATCCTTTGAAAAACAAACAGGTCTGCATAAGCAAATACAATGTAATTTACAGCACGTTTTATTTCTGATTTGAAATAAGAAAGAATTGTTGAAAGCTATAGATTATTGATAGCATATATTTGATCAAGTGCCTGAAAATCATAGAACTAAAGAATTCTTTGAATTTTCAGAAAATTCCAATTTTAGTCTATCCTCAAGTGTCTCTTTTAACAGTGCCTGTCACCTCTTCTGGTCAATTTCAGAATCAACTGACCCCCTTTTTATGCAAATTAAGGACAATTTGATTCTAGTTATTGGCCTGTGTATGTGTGTATTGCCACAGCCATTCACAAAATAAAAGCATTATTTTGAATATTTAATTATTATAGACATCTCAAAACAGTTATCCAGAGAAAACAATTTAAGGCAGAGATGTTTCCTTTTGATGTAAACTTTTTGTTGTTGCTTTATTTTTGCTTTAAATGAGGAATCTTTGTAGAACCACAGGCTGTCCCCAAAATATGAAATTTTCAATTGCTTAAATACTGCTGTGCTGAGAACAATTATCGAACTGATGACTCAGAATAAAAATCCTGAGAATGATTTCACCACTTTCCTGCCCCTTGGTATCACACCATCTGGCTGAGAATTTTATTTAGAATGAGCAGAATTCTCATTTAGAATTACAAAAGAGAAGTATTGTTTCCATAAAACATTAAAACTGAGTATTTAGGGATTTAATTAAATTTCAGCAATCTGAAGAATACTTTTAGCCAGAACACCACATCTCCACAATCCCTAATAATTCCAACTAATTGAGGCATCATTACGACCTATTATGTTTCAGAGATGAGCTCATACAATGGGAAAATGGCTCAGTCTGTCATTTAAAGATGAAATTGCCATATTGCCAGTGGCCTCCATGGTAATGGTTTAATGAACTGCAAGCTCTACTTGACTCCCACATTTAAATCCCTCTACCTCCAGGAAACAGCCCGGCACGTTGGAAATGGCAGCTCTAGAAGCACCTTCCAGCACCGGTGTTTCCTAGCTGGGGACAGCTGTCCTCCAGAGCATGTGATCTCTGCAGGTACTGTGCTAAACTTTCGCATGCTTTATCTCAATTGATACGTGCGTGGGAGCACCCAGTTTTGTGCTGAGGGAGATCCTAAAGTTAGAGGAACTTGCCCAAGGTCTGAAAGATCCTGGCTGTCAGATTGAGGCTGTCTCATTCTGCTTCCTGGGTTTCTACGCAATCAACAGGTCAATGAATATGAAGTGCCAGGATTGTAGTTTGAGTATCATATGGCTCAATAAATGTTAATTCCCTTTACTATTCCTTCCAAGCTCATGTTATAAATTACACCCAACCCTATTAAAATTAGAGGAGACACACAAAATTTAAGTTTTTACCTACTGCCATTTCTTTTCCAAATCATAAACTTAACCTTAGAGTAACGTGAATAGTGAGGAAATACCCTTTTTTCCTGTATCAATTACAATTCAAAAGAGTTGCCTTGAAACACTTATTTTTACTTATTTTTTTAAACTATCACTCTAACCTTTAGGCTATGAAAAACTACAAAGGTTTGTATTTGCTTTTATGAACTAATCCATTGGTTCTAGTGTTGGTTTTAGAGCAGTTCTGTTTAAATTCCTGAAAACCAACATGTCTTACAAATACTCAAGGAGTTGG